AACCTACTCGCGATGGCCTCCAACCTAATAGCGATGGCCTCCAACCTAATAGCGATGGCCTCCAACCTCCTTGCACTGGCCTCCAACCTAAAAGGGATGGCCTCCAACCTGACAGGGATGGTTTGCAACCTAATAGCGACGGCCTGCAACCTACTCGCGCTGGCCTCCAACCTGCTGGCGATCCCAATGGCCTCCAACCTAATGGCGATTGCCTCCAACCTGCTGGCGATGGCCTCCCACCTACTTGCAATGGCCTCCAACAAAATAGGGATGGCCTCCAACCTACTTGAAATGGCCTCCAACCTAATGGCGATGGCCTCCAACCTAATAGCGATGGCCTCCAACCTAATAGCGGTGGCCTCCTCCAACCTAATAGCGACGGCCTCCAAACCTACTTGCAATGGCCTCCAACAAAAATAGCGATGGCCCCCAACCTATTTGCAATGGCCTCCAACCTAATGGCGATGGCCTCCAATCTACTTGCAATGGCCTCCAACCTACTCGCGATGGCCTCCAACCTAATAGCGATGGCTTCCAACCTAATAGCGATGGCCTCCAACCTACTTGCAATGGCCTCCAACCTACTTGCGATGGCCTCCAACCTACTTGCGATGGCCTCCAACCTACTTGCAATGGCCTCCAACCTAATAGCGACGGCCTGCAACCTACTCGCGATGGCCTCCACAACCTAGTAGCGATGGCCTCCAACCTATTTGCAATGGCCTCCAAGCTACTAGCAATGGTCTCCAACCTGATAGTGATGGCCTCCAACCTACTTGCACTGGCCTCCAACCTAAAAGGCATGCAACCTAATAGCGATGGCCTGCAACCTACGGCCTCCAACCTAATGGCGATTGCCTCCAACCTACTTGCAGTGGCCTCCAACCTAATAGCGATGGCCTCCAACCTGTTTGCAATGGCCACACGAAAGCAACATTTTGCCAATATGACACTCGTTTCATCACATGTCCAATTGTTCTGTATTATTTCAGAAGGCTGACCTTTCAGAAGGCTTCCAATTGTTCATCACATCTGACCTTAGGCTTCCAAGCCAACACCTCCTCCAAAATAAAAACCCTAACTACTGGAGTCGAGATGGGGTCCTGTTGGGCACATGGATTGGCATGGTTTTACTGTTGCACCCACATGAATGACATCAAAGACATTTGACGTGTTTGAATTTTTGCTCGAGAAGAAGTCAAGAAACACGTGTAATTAGTTGTGAAGTTGGACAAGGCCAGGTCGCAGAATAGTGTAGCTAGAGCTCTTGGTTGTTTGTTATTGTTGTTTTCTTTGGGGTCAACTTGAATAGCAAGATAGTACCATAAGCCATGGCGGCTGGAGGGCAGTTTTAAAGCAGCAGCAGCAGCAGATGCAGAATCAGAGAGGTTTGGATCCCCAGCAGGTTGAAACACGGGCTAGCTGGGACAGCTCGAATAAGTTCAACACCAATTGGGTTTTCGCTTGGGATAGGCTTGCCATCGAAATTGATCAAAAGGTTGGACTGCAATTTCATGTATTCTCACTTCAACTTCCGGGCAAAAGAATGTCAATGTTGACACAACGTCACGGAAACTTCTACAACCTCTACAGGTAAAATTGTGTCAGGTTCTACAATTCTATACTATCGCTCGCGCTCTCACATCCACGCGTGAGACGTGGATAGAGCCTGTTGCCTCACCACAGGTGAAGTTCTACAATTCTATACTAAATACTGTATTCAGATATCAAAGCCAACTGCTCGTTTCCTGCTGCAAGAACACTACACAAGGGCTTCGAGCACACTCCACGCGGGGGAGCCATTGAGTCCAGGGGGGTAGTATATTGGCTGTGGCGCTTCTGACTGAGCGTGGTCAAATGTCAGGTCCAAGACTGCAAATCTCATGCTTTTGGTGGCTGGCGTTGGCCCCGCTATGATTTGGCATCGTTGGGTTAGGGCCGTTGTCATGAGTCATACTCGCAACAATGTCCACCAAAAATAACTCATCATCTTGTTTTGCATCACTTGATATGCACGCCTGCACTGCAGCCATCGTCTACCACTGTGATCATGTGCGAGTTGCACTGTCACACACACGCACAGACCCGCACACACACACTCACACACACACACTCACACACACACATGTACACGCACACACACACACACACACACGGCAGTCTGGAAGTGTCCGTGAAACTCTGCATTTCACAGGATAACTGGCGCTGGTGGTGGTGTGAGCTGTCCAATCAGTTGAAATAACCAGTGAGAATGGAGTTGATTCTGAAGTTCCACAGTGAGTGGAACATACCAAGGCTTAGTACTTATTGTTGACGAATTCAGCAGCTTATGGACTGTATCCAAAGCTTAACTGAGGAACTTTCTATAGAATTTCATTGCATTTCCTTGTAATATATAAAACCATCCCATTTGTGACAATACTATTTGGTTTTGCATGGAGTTTGCGGATTGCAAACAATGTGTCTACAATGCATGTCATTAGCCAAAATGGCATGCCATTTTGGCTCAAGTGATTGGGAACCTTTCCCTCAGAAACTTTGAAGCGAACTTCGTCCTTTTCTACTCCACTGACCTATTGCAATGGCTGCCTCCTCAGCTCAGCTTTTTGACTTTGAACTTTTGGAAGCGGCTGATGGGACGGACATCCCGGAGCAGGACTTTGTGCTTGTGGCGGCAGCGGAAACTTCTCAACTGGCTGCGGATGATGAACCTTTTGGCTGACTATGTGGTTCCCCCCGCCAAGACCTGCAGACTTGGCCAAGGACTTGGGAGCCATGGTGACGGAGGTGTGTCCGACACGCTCTCCTTGGCCTCTACCACGGGGACAACCCCAACCGGCACCTTCCCCTGATGTGGCGACTCAGTCGGCAGAGGTCTCTCCTCAGGTTGGGACAACCGCTCCATTTACATGGGTGACCCGCGAACGTGGCCGCTGTTCCTATGGACACTTCGCCCTCGGAGCCTATGGCGACTCCTGTGCCCTTGGATCAGGGTGACACGGCGGGAGTCCTGGCAGGTGCTCGATCCCTGTACCTGGAAATGGCTCCTCCGGAGTCCCGGCAGCTCCAAGCCCTGATCCTGGGGCTCCCACGGAGGGCCCATCTTCGACTAAGGCAAAGCCTGGTGCCTTGGCTTCTGGTGTCAGGGCCGAACCGCTGCCTGCTCCTTCCTCGACCAGGACGACTTTGGCATCCTCAGTGCCCCTCCAGGAGACCGTGACATACACCCAGGATGAGTCTGGCAACCTCCTCCTGGGCTGCCATGCCTGCCAAAGAAGTTGGCACAACCCCTTGCGGGGTCTCTTGCTAACGATATCGTGGACTTGTGCCTGCACTTTGATGTCACCAAGCTCACACCGGCCTCCTTTGCACGGGTTGTGGAGGTGTTCTCCATTGCCAAGGCCAAGAAACTGGCGGAGGAAATCTGGGAGGCCAAGCACCTGGCCCATGGATCCAAGTTTTTTGACCACCTCCGTACCCTGTCCGCCGGGCTGCCTACTACTGAGCACATGTGCCCGCAGTGCTTCACGCCTTGGATGGTGACCAGTGCCAAGAAATGCCTCCACTGCGGCTCCCTGGAGGCAAAGGTCCCGACTGCGTCATTGCATGGAGGAAATGCACGCTCTCGAGGCTTTCATTGACTCGGACTACCTCATCCCCACCCCTCCGTGTCATTTCCATCACAAATACGGCAAAAAGGGGTCCTATACCTCTTCACGGCCGATGAGTACATTGCCGACATTGCGAACGGTGCTTCAAGCGCTACACCTTCCCCACAGGCAAGTCTCGGGAGGAGGTCTTGGACCGCTCCCCACAGAAGTTCCTCTGCCTCATCGCCAGATTCAGAGGACTCGACCTTCACTGACGACTCGGTGGATACTGCCTCGCAATTCCGCTCCCATCTCTGTGAGAGGGCAGAAGCTTCACGCCCTGACACCCTCGGGGCGGCGAGGCAGCCACTTACCTTCGGGATTGGCGGACACCGTGCATTTTTGCGAATGCCACCAGTCTACCCCAGGCGAAGCCCTGGAACAGGGTGGTCTACAGACAGACCTGTAAAGACAGA